ATGGGGAGATCTAGTGGACTGCATGAGCTGATACTAGAGCTTCAATCAGGGACCTGGAAGATGGAAGTCCAGCTTGAATAACACAGGATGAGAGAACCTGGCCATGATGAGCAAGCATGAAGCGACAGTGGAGAGGAAAAACCTCTGGCAGAACCAGGCTCAGCATGGCGGTCTTCTGTCGGACCGATTGAGATGAGACAGGGAACGCAGTAAGAGTCCAGGAGGAATGAAACTCTAACGAAGCTTTAGCTACGAAGGTGGAGGAGGGGCTGGAGGGGGGTTCAAATGGGGTCATCTGCATGAAGTCACACTACATCCGCCGCCTGCGCACAGGAGCAGACAGGTGCAGATCAGAGGCCTCTTAAGATGAACTTTGGATGCCGATTGGCTTTCGTGGAGGCGTGGTTCAAAGCTGACTGCTGTGTCGCAGGTGGATGTAGGAAAAAACAATGAGTTTCTGCAGTTGAATTTCTGCCTGGGCTCCATTATATATATATTTAATTTAATTGTATTCCCTTGTTGACATTTCTAAAAGTCAAGGCTGCGCCTTGATCTGTGTCAACCATTGACTTTGCATGTAAACTAGCTGCTTCTGCTGCTGGAAGCGAGTTAGGTGCGAACGTAGCATTAGACTGGATTTCTAACCCAGCATAAGTACGGTGCTCAGGCGACTCTGCAGGCGACTGCCGGCGACTGCAGGCGACTGCAGGCGACTGCCGGCGACTGCCGGCGACTGCAGGCGACTGCAGGCGACTGCAGGCGACTGCAGGCTGCTTCTTCACCTTCATCCTGTGGTCAGGGTTTTTTTGTAGAACTGAAAAGTTGTTCATCTCCAGATGTTTAAGGAACCAATCATACAAACTCAGGTCCTTTAGTAACATGTTTGATCTGCTATATTTCCAGAAATACCTTCAACCTAAGAGTGAGTCTCACAGTCAGAGTGGATCAGAACCAGAACCAACATGGACACCTGAAAGCCTATATTCTGAAATGTGAATTCAGAATTGAAAATGAGGATTCATCTGGAAGCCTGGGGTAAAGTCTGCAGTGATACCAAAGATTAATGTTTATTTTTTTAGTTTTTAACCTAAATGTCTGAGAGGCTGGGAGGAACTGCATCACTTTGCCTTTAAATCAGAAGGAAACCTTTAAACATTTAGCAGAACACAATAGAAACGCTAGAGAACTCTCAACACCAAAGAATAATCTGGCACTGATGGCTGGGACCAAGGAGTTTAAATAGAAGCAGGAACAGGTGGATAAAATGAGAAGTAATGAGAAACTGGGCAAAGCCAGTCAGCTGAATGAAATTAGTAATAAAGCCAGCCATAAGCACCACAATCATGACACTAACAGCTAAAAACAAATAATAATACAATAAAATGCAGCATAGAAATTTAATTTGTTTAAACTAAATAAACAAAAGTAGGTCTTGAGTCAGAGTTTTAAAATTGCCAGTGAAGGAGCCTCCCTGATGAGCAGCGGGAGGTTATTCCTTAAACGAGGAGCAGCGATAGCGAAGGCTCCGGCCCCTCTGAGCTTCCTCTGAAACCTCGGTTCCTGCAGGAGCTGATCTTCTGCTGACCTGAGGGACCGAGGGGGCAAGTAGGGGTGAAGATGCTCAGAGAGGCGAGGTGGGGCAAGGTCATTCATGCACTTAAAGCAAAGATAAGG